AAGTCAGTGGTCGATTGATGAGCCGTGCTGTGGGCGGCGGCCGCGGGGAACGGATGCTGCTTGCAGAATTGCTATTCTCTGCCCCGGTTCTAGACTTTTCCGCGCTCCAGTTTCCCGATGCGAGAGGGGATGGGTGGGGGACGTCCTGTTGGAATAAAATAATATATATTTTTAGAAGGACGACAAAAACTTTTCCGTATTAGATTAATGAAAGAAAATAATAAGTGCCGGTCTAGTTTTTTTTTTAGAAAAATCGGGCCTAAAAACCATTAATCGGGAGAGTGCACCGCTCATCCTAACCAACTCTAAAATACCGTAAAAAACAACTATTGACTATACCCCACAATATGCTCAACCTTGAGCCAACTTGGTCGAAAGCGACCCAAAAGGCAACTCGACTAAGCTAGAGCAACTAAGAACAACTCCAACTAAGAGGCCAACAAGTAAAAACGACTTGGAACACCGAGCACCACCGCCCTTGGAGAAACGCCATGGCAGATGACAAGAGGTCAACAGCGAAAATTGGATTGCCTAGCAAAGCCTCCAAGGAGAAATGACCCCAAGAGCGTCAACAAGTTAGCCTGACGAGGAAATGTTTTCACCTGCAAAATCCAGCACGGTAGGAACTCGAAACCAAACCTGATAACTTTAGGGTCTCCGAACCCAAAATTCGAGAGGAGTTAGGAGAGGATTGCACCTGCACTCACAGGACCCAAAAGGACCAGGATCGGCTGAACACATTCCAGCTTGCTTCAGCTTATTCTCTCTTACAGAACACTATTGAATCAGCCGAAATCAACTGAAAGTGTATCAGTCGAACAGGGTGACTACTGCAACATAAGCAGTAGCAGCATCTCAGCTGTTCAAGGAACCATCAATGGCTAGGATCAGAGCCCCTTTCCTTTCTTTCTTTTTTTCTCCCCCATTTGCAATCGGTCTCTGTTTGCGCACGCTGATATTTGGCTCTGCAAGGAGGATTTTCTCGTCACGTGTGAGTCACCAACAGAGCCAGACTCAAGTGTGAAAATTACAAAAAATTACATGTAACCACTAAATCTAAAAAATCTATACCTAATATTAAAAAATCAAAATTTATTTTCCATTTTTTTGTCTGACCCAACTGTTTGGCCCACCAGCTCACGTCCATCTCAACTCCCGTCTCTTCACCTCCCCCCGCTCCGATAAAAAAAAATGTTCGTCTCACCCCACCACATCGGTTCCGTCCCACGTCCACTACTTGAAAAATGATTTTAGAAGATAGGGTCAAATCATTTTCGGAGACGGGCACACCTAACGTCCGCCTCCGTAAATAATTAGGAGGGCTCTACGAAAATGCCCGCCTCCAAAAATCATTTACGGAGGCGGCCAGGCGGGCGTCCTGCTAAGATGACTTCCTTCGAAAATCGATTTACGCATGCGAACGGTCTTAAGAGAGTGTGTGGTGTAATGGTACATAGGTGCTATCATTGAACGGCAAGTCACTGGTTCGATTAACGGAGGCGGGCGCGTTAAGACGCCTGTCTCGCGTGCAGCGCCCTCGCTGCTCTAGTCCCGTGTGTAGTCTCGGTGCTGAGATGGAGCGGTCTGCGCCGCCTCCTCCTGGCCTCCTAGGGCCCTCCTACCGCATTCTTCGGAGAAGCTGGCGCTGCCACGTTGGTTGTCGTTCATGGTGTCGCCTAAGTTGCCTCCTGCTTGCTCCTTTAACTTTGCCTAAGTTTCTTTTTTACATCAATTGGATACTTTGTGCAGTGTCTTAAAGTGGAATAAATTTAAATGTGATTAATTTCATGTATTTTCCTGTAGCAATTGGCATGAGGACGGGAACAAATTGTATGCCCCTCGCAACGCACGTTGTCTACTGGTAGAACGATTTTTCAATAATTGTCCCACCAAAAAATAACTTCAGGTAAAATAAAATGCTGGAAATACGATTTTATATTTACTTAAGCATATATGTTGAGAAATTATTACATAGAAGAATATTACTTTTTGACCATGAATTTAGATTTTTTTGGATTTTTGAAAAAGATTTTGTTGCTGAACAACTTAACTGAAAACTGTGTCACTTTCACTACCCTTTCACTCCAAAAATAGAGACCGATAGCACATGGGGGAGAAAAAAAATAGGAGAGAAAGGGGCTCTGATCCTGGCCATTGATGGTTCGTTGGATGGCTGAGATACTGCTACTGCTTATGTTGCAGTAGTAACTACTACTGCACGTCTGCACCCGATCATGGTCCGACCCAAAACCCATATGGTCTCTGACTTGAAACCGCCCCGCTGTCATCCCTACTAGTCATCTCCTCTTCCTCTACTGAACTGGGGGCGCCTGGAGTAGAGGAGTCGTGTCTGGTGGGGTCACCGGGAAGAGTGGTCAAGAACGTCGTGGAGTCAGCGAGGAGCGCCCGGGGACCTCTCCGGGGAGACACGAGCCACGCCAGGATCTCACGAGAGGAGAGGAGCCACGTGATCGAGGTCTCTAGGTCACCGAGAGGAGTGTTTGGGACCTCGTCGAGAAGAGAGGAACTGTGTGGCTAGAGGAGCTCGCCGGAGGAAGGAGCCATGCCAGCAAGATCTCGCCATGCGGCTAGGGTTGCTGGGAGGAGTAGCCAGGGGACCATGCTTGGGAGGGGAGGAGCAGCCAGTAGACCATGCTAGGAGGAGAGGAGCTGCACGGTCAAGGGAGCTCGCAAGGGGAGCTGCGCTCAATAGTAGAGAACAGACCTTTCATCCGATGTTAAAATGGGCTCTAGTCCCGGCATTTTTTTGCGCCCGGGACTAGAGAGACCTTTAGTCCCAGTTGGTGTCTCCAACCGGGACTAAAGGTCCCTGCCCAACGGCTACTGCGCTCGGCACAGTGGCAGTGGACCTTTAGTCCCGGTTGGAGACACCAACCGGGACTAAAGGTGGACCTTTACTCCCGGTTGGAGCCACCAACCGGGACTAAAAGTCCTCCAACCTTTAGTCCCGGTTGGTAACACCAACCGGGACTAAAGGTCCCCCGATGGGTTAGTTCAAAAGGGAAGCATCACATCCATTGTTAGATGTGTTGTGTATGTGGGGTGGTAAGCTACGTGCGAGGCAATGCATGAGGTCTTGGGTTCGAATCTCACGAGACGCAGCGGTGGGAGACATTATTTTTTTAAAGCTGGGAGGACCTTTAGTCCCGGTTCCTGACCCGGGACTAAAGGACCCCCCCTTTAGTCCCGGATGCTTGCTCCCGGGTGGGGAACCGGGACTAGAGGGGGTTCCCCACCGGGAGTAAAGCCCGTCTCTGTATTAGTGGCTGGGCCAAGGGAGTTGGGGAGCAAGATGCCGCCAAGGAGGAGAGGACGCGAGCGGGTGGGAATCAGTTCAGTGGCCAAGTTAGGGTCGGACGGAGAGTGCCCAAGAATGAGAGGGCGAGCGGGGGAGGAGTGGGAGGTTGATTTCAAAGCCTCTCATATTTTAGGGCTCTAGTAGAGGCACTATTGGACCTACATATTTTGCTTGAGTCCATCTTTTAGACCTGCATTTTTTTTTTGTTTGAGTCCATTTTTCAGATTAGGTGGTGGTTTTTTTTTCTTGAGTCCATTTTTCAGTTTAGGGGGTTGTTTAAGAGCCAATGAACCATCTGCTGGCGTAAATGGAAACATGGGGCGAACATAAACCAGTCCACCGTTTTCGTTGTCAGATGTCCCACAAGTATAATTTTAAGGTGCTTGATTTAAGGAATACGTTACTCCATCGTGTTCTCGCTTCACTTTTTTTGTTTGGTTTGTAGAATAAATAGGTTGATGCATCATCACATCCTCCTCACAAGCAAATAATTAATACTAATGTGAGAATAGTCATTCCATCAAATTTAAAAAATCGTTTATAATGTCCTACCTTATTTAGAATTGTTTGCCTTATCTAGAATGGTTTGATTCCTCAAACAAAACCGGCTATAAGAGTATTTGACCAAGCGGACGCCCGTACCACTAGTTCACTACAACACATGCAGTTGACTGTCAGTCTCCAACTAAACAAACGCCGCTTCTCACTGATCGCAAGCATGAACTGCTAATGCCATCCTTTGACGGCTAAGCAAACGTAACCAAGTGCCAAGAACAGGACACAGCTCGTTCATGGAAAATATCAGCTCCCTCCACGTGGCCATTTTTCCATCATTGAAGCGAAGCAGATAAGCCAACGGCATCGATTTATCATATCCAAAAGATGGACAGGACATGCCGTTTAGCAAAACGGCAGCGACTTAAAAGCCGAAAAGGAAAGCGCGTACTACCTTCGCTTCGCCGCGGCCCGGACTTGCGTCAAGCCCCCGGTCCCTGCGTTGCTTTGCTAGGCCTTCCAGAAGAGTTTCTTGTGACATTTGCCATATATTCATATAATATCTGAGCACGTCAGTTGTACACTAGTTCTAAACACGCCTTCAAATCTGCTGGCCAAAACCATGGTTTCCGTACCCAGTTATTATTACACTACTCACATCAAACTACATGTAATACAAAGCTCTGCCCAGTGACAAACGCTTCTAGAGCATCATGGCTGGAATATCCCAGCGGAAAACAGGGGAACCATATTGGAGACAAAAGAGCAGGCAACAGACCTAGATTCTCATGCGACCTTTCGAGAAAATGGAACCACTTCAGTTAGGGCCAGTTTGGATGCCGAAACTTTTGGCGAAATGCTATTGTAGCGTTTTCGTTGTTATTTGACAATTAGTGTCCAATCATAGTCTAATTAGACTTAAAAGATTCGTCTCGTGGATTTCGTCTAAACTGCGTAATTAGTTTTATTTTTTATTTATATTTAATGCTTCATGCATGCGTCCAAAGATTTGATGTCACGGGGAATCTTGAAAAATTTGGCATTTTGGGAGGGATCTAAACAGGCCCTTAGTTTATGAAGAAACAGTAATTGTCAGCTCTGTGGGTATCACATTTCTGTTTTGTAGATTATTATTGCACCACCAGTAAGAAAACTGATGTTCAGATAGTGGCAGGCCATGGAAAGTTCACACACTCAACTCAGCCTCAGCACCTAATGGCTCAAAAACTGATTCAACCTCGCCCATGTTTACTTCTTCCAGAGTGGCTGGATTCCACTTCGGATTCTGCAAAGTGTCAGGAAAATTCAGTGAGAAGTCAATTCCTTTTCACTTAATCTTCATGGTTAATAAATGCAATCAAACACTATATTTGCATAACATAAACTATAAAGGGCGTACCCAGTGCAGAGAGCTCCCGCTCTGTGCGGGGTCTGAGAAAGGGTGTCACTGGCAAGCCTTACCCTCGCCTGTGCAATGCGAGGAGACCGCGACTCGAACCCCAAGTTGCACCATGGTATAATCTAAGTATCCATTTTGCCACCAATTGCACCCAGTTTGCAAGACAGGAGTGAATAGTAGGGCTAGCCCTGTACATGGACCGGGTTTCCCGGGTTATGGCTAGTTTGCAAGTTGCAACTAGCACGGAGGACAGGCTGGGTTGGTCTCCGCTAGTTTCAGAGCAGATTTGATTAGCCGCTGAGTTTGACTAGTCCTAGTGGTTTCAACAGGTTCCGGATGGGTTTCACGACACCACTGCCCTGGACTGAGCGACACCAAGGAAATACCAGTTCCTGTCTCATGGCCAAGGTCGTCATAGATGTCAGCAACACAGACGATGCTGTGGAGCTTGCCAAGAGGCATTTGGCCAGGGCCAACTGAAGCTGTAGCCTAGGGGCGCATCCGGCCACACATGCTCCATCTCCGTCGTTCATCGAAGCATCTGGTCAGGAGATATCAAGCATGTGTGGCCGTCATGGGTGGGGTTAAGGGTGTTGGAAAGATCTCTACTTGTCGGAACTCAGAAGACTTCATGAGTGACCAGGAAGAGGAAGATCCAAGAAGAATTAGGAAGGGACATCTAAGAGGATGCAATGGAGGAACCTAGACTCAGGAAGAGGACAGGTTACTTGGGTAGAACGAAAACGGATGGAAACAGACGAGAAAACCGCTTAACCATTTTCGTTTCCATATTTGATCAACAGAAACGGGAATGGGACCAGGATAGCCAGGAACGAGATACACTGGAATATGGAAACGAACAAAATACAAATGGGAACCAAAAACTACTTCCGAAGATCATGACATGGCTCGATGTGCCTAATCAGCATGTTAGGAGCCTTGTTAAAGTGCCTCACAGGCTTCTTGATGCCCCTCAAGACGACTTTCTAAATTCACTAATATTTGATGTAAAGACCTATCGTTCAAAGGTTGCTACAATAACAACTGCTAAAGCTAATCCTGGAATTCGTAAATACAGGTCTATCCGCCTAAAAGTGGGATCCTGCAAAAATGGACAGGAAACACCTCATCCCACTTCCTGTCCAGTTCCCATATTTTTCCGCAAATACAGAAACAGACAAGATAAATGTAGAAAACAGAATGGGACGGATGGGATTAAGGCCCTGTTTGGATACAAAGTTTTTTTTAGAGGTTTAGATCAATACCATGGTTTTTTAAAATACCTAGGTATCTAAAAGAAAGAAGGTGTTTGGATGTAATTAATTTGGAGTTTTAGAAACTACGGTATTAATAACAACCCTCTTTATTTTTGACAGAGCTTGGTGACGCGCGTCCATTTCTGATGGCGTGTCTCTTTTTCACTGCTATTTTTAGAGATACATGCTATTTTTAGCAGCATAGACACAACCAACTAGTCTTAAAAGCGTATTGCTGTGTAGCCAAACACGTCATGGCTTTTCTTAAACAGAGAAACACTGCAGTTTCTAAATACAATGGTATTACATGCCTATGGTTTTTAAAACTGTGTTTTCATAATACTAGAGTTTTAAGAAACAGCAACACCCAAATGGGGCCTAAACAATTTAAGGAAAGAAAATTAGATAACTTGCCTGGTCCTTGTCAACTAAAACAGCACGTACACCTTCAACAAAATCATTTCTAACCGACGACCTCAAGGCAATACGATATTCCAATTTCATAACACCAGCCAGCTGAAACCTCACCAAACACCAGAATTAGCAATACCTAGATAAGTGGTCCATGAACAATTGAAAATGTTCAGCCCTAGAGGATACTAGATTCATACCTTAGATAAATAGTGTTCACTAGTCCCGTACGCTGATGCAACTTGAGAGAAATGCTTCTGTGTTAAACAAAGAGAAAATGGAGCGCCTTTCTCAATTCCTGCTAAAGCTTCATGGGCCCATTCTGCCACTGCAGCCACCAGAGGAACAAGTAAGTGCATAAATACAGATATCCCTTCTTAAGCCACCATTGGATTAAATTCTTACATACTCCCTCCGTCCCTAGAAAAAGTGTCAGCTATGGGATTTGTGCTAGTCAAACTTTCTTAACTTTGATTAGGTTTAGAGAAAATATTAGCAACATTTATATCTCTAAATAAATTTATTATAAAAATATATTCAGCGATTCATCTAATGATACAAATTATGCACCATAAATATTAATATTTTATTATATACATTTGGTCAAAGTTGATAATGTTTGACTTCTTCAAAAGTGAGGATGACACTTTATGGGACGGAGGGAGTAGCACAGAGAAAGTAGGGCCATTTTTTAACAATCAAAACAGTTGGCATGTAAGTGTTTGATACATCAGCTTTGCCAAGGTGCACTACAAGGGAATGCTTCATAGCAGGTACCTGTAGCATCACCACTTTGACTACATTTCTTTAGCTCTTCCACAGATTCAGCTACTGATTTATCAGGACTGAAAGAAGAAATGATATATGGCAAAAGCTTTTCTAGTTGTGATTCAGACTCTGGTTCTTTCTTGTATACTGTCAGAACTGACTCAACGTCTCTATGAGGATCATTGGTGCTGCAAAATAAGATCAAATACCATCAAAAGGTACATATGTGCCAGCAAGCGTGATGAGGAACAAGGAAACAGGAAAAAAAAATTGGAGAAGTTACCGACACCATATATTGATTTTGAAATTATTTAGTTTTTGTCAGTAAGTACAGATAAGAAACATACAAGTTAGCACTCAGGAGGGATTCCTTGAGTGAACCCAAATTTGCAGAAGGTACATAATGAGTACCAAGGCCTATAAACATAGCATCAGCAGGTGATGATATCCTTTTTCCAGTAATCCCAAGGTAAGCTCCTGAAAAAAAGCAAGAGTGATCATGAAAAGGAAAATATGTGTAAATATATTAAGCATACAGGCGAGGTGTACCCGATTGGGAACAGCTAGCTTCTTAAATATTTTGGAATAGTAGGGAAGGCTGCAACAATGTCACGACTCAAGACTCATTATTGGTAGGATGATCAATCAGAACAAAATAATGATGATGGCTTAATAACATATTAAGATGATTAAGAACAGCTAATTAAGTCTTATAAGCAATAGCAAAGATAGTAGAGAGCAAACAAAGCGAAACGGTCAAAATATCAAGATATATACATGGAACATGTTGCGTCCAACCTGTTCTCAAACATAATAAACATGGAATGCATGAGGAAGAAAAGGCCAAAGGAGGGGCACCAAGAACTAAATAGTATGTGCTTTATGATATTATATATATTGGAAAAGAATATCCTAATGAGGAAATAAATAGCATTAGGCCTTACTTTATGAATTGATACAAGAAGGGGGGAAATTACAAGGAGCATACCAACTGCACCCCTTCCTGGGGCTTTTGCACCAATGTAAGCAAAGCCAACATCTGGGAACAGGCCAATAGCATTCTCAGGCATGGCTAGGAGTGTCCTCTGCAATAATGATACACCAAGCAAGATGAGTATTCAGAATTTATATAATGAAATTAAAAAACAAACATAAATTGGAGTTAAAAAATTGCCTCAGTAATAATGCGGTAGCGGCCATGCCCTGATAGCCCAATTCCAAATCCCATTGTCACTCCATCCATCAAGCATATATAAGGTTTTGCATACTCATGTATCTTACAAATCAAGGAGTACTCTGCTGTGAAGACCTGAAAATCATTAGGGTACTTTTTAGTGATCTATGTGATATAAATATTTAAAACAAAGGAATGCAAACTACTTTCAGCCATCATTGCAAATCATCTACCCAGTAACATAAAATGGTAACATCATGCCAGAGTTTAAGATCCCAGTAGTGGAGGTGGCCTCTGGAACAGAAATTTTGTTTCAAAGCCTCCTAAATTGTTCCACCTAACTAATTGATCCCAACAGTCAACAGGGGCCTGGATTCATATGTTTGCACATGGTACAACTAATTGCTCAAATTCAATTATAAACTAAAAACTAATTTGATATTCAATTTTAAATTAAAACACAGTATCCATGAATAAAATCATAACATCAAATTACTCAAATGATTGCACACATACAGTAATTTTTCATTTCTTGAAAGTTGGTTGTGAAATTCAAATTATTTACTTCCTTTGTTCCTAAATATAGTTCACTTTGGTTTTGTCCTAAATCAAACTTTTCTAACTTTGAGTCTTTGACCAAGTTCATAGGAAAATGCAACAACACCTACAACATCAAATCAGTTTCGCTAACTGCTCCATGGAATGTGTTTTGAACTTTTGGTAGTGCATTTGTTTGAACGTCTATAACAGTATAACTTAATATATTTTTCTGAAAACTTCGTCAAAGTTGGAAAAGTATGACTTAGGACAAAATCAAAGTGAACTATAATTTGGAATAGAGGGACTCCCAATTTGTCCATTCGAACAGGAGTTGCAATTTCAATAAATTTTGAGATGGTAGCAAAAGTGACCATATCACCAATTCATTTTAAATTTTGCAAGGGCATGCTATGTCCAGGAATGCATTATCATGCTATAGTTAGACCTCTATTATATCTGGCATGGTGCAATCATTAGCAAGTCTCTTCACATCCCCACCTGCAGTTTACACTAAGCACTAGTCACTGTGTGTATAAGTTTCAGTAAAGCTACAACAAATAACATCATGATATAAACTATTGAACAAAAAGAAGAGATAAAATAGCCATGATAGTAAAATCAGATTAAAATGGAAGCAGTAAAGACCTTTTGCACAAGTGGTGTGTTTTTGTCTTTTTGTATTTTCGCGGCAACCCCCTTAATATCCATCCCTGCATTGGGCATGAATCATATTTGAAAGCATTTCCAATGCTCCGGAAATGAAAAGGCAGATCACCGTGTTTGACATTGATTGCTTAACGTACTCGTAAAAAGATAAAAAGAAAATTAAGAATCACCTGCTGAGAAGGCACGAGAAGAGCTGCTTTCCACAAGAATACACTTGACACTTGGATCTGTTTCCCATTCATCAAGAAGTGCCTTGTATCTAACATCCATTTCTGCAATCATGTTATAGCCGAAATATGTTACTGGAGAACAAAAGGCTATTAAGCAAAAGTTCCAAGGGAAGAAAGATGTAAAAAGGACATCTAGAGGAGTAACAGCCTAACAGAGTAGCAGGACATGTTATCAGAATTTGTACTATCAACTAGTAAAATACAGCTGTGCACATGCTTTGAGTGTAAGCCATCCTCAACATGTATCCCAAATCAGAGCAACCCCAAACTTTGTACTGTAGAACATGTCCAAAAAGGGGTTAATCCTCAAGCATTGTTTTTTCTGCCAGCATTTTGGCGAGTAGAACAAATGGATAACAAGACACAGGTTCAAACTTCAACAAGAAAATATACAACTTTTTTGTATCTTATACAAGGCCACAGGGGTAAGCAAATTAATGTTAGTGTATGAAGTTTACACAAATCATCTTGCGTCAGGGTTAGGTTTACTTAGAGAACTACAAAAGGGGTTGAATAAAAACTAGTGATGTTATTAAAACACTCAAAATGATGTCTCTTTTCTTTGTTAGGGTTTTATGCAGCAAACAATATTACAACTATACATAGTTGTATAAAAAAATGCACCTTGAGGCTTGAGCACCCAATTTAAGGATGCATGAATGCAAGGGTTTTGCAGATTATAACAAAATTCAACATTCATAACAAGGACTTTAGATAATGTCAGCCTCAAATTTCATGTCGAATCAAGTGGCGATTTTCAGATTTTAACATCTATTAGCACACGATCACAATACAGAATCTTCATAACATGAATTAATTTAGGAACATGATTGGATGATAGATTTGAAATGAGCCACCCAGCCTAAAACTTTCCTTAGCTCTACGGTATTTTTAGCAGCAAAAAATTTGAACTGTTGCCTGATCCCTAATCACTAGCACGAGTACATAAATTGATCTAAACATCCGCGCACTACACCAGTTCGGTACGAGCTTCAAATATTTATTCAACAACCGCAGAACAAAATTTCATCTATTGCTCCGCAGCTTAACAAACTTGTATAGATCGCAAAAAAACAGTACCCTACTAACCAGGGGCGGATTTGGGCCCGGGCTGCCCGGGCTGCAGCCCGGGGCGAGGCCCATTACCTGTGGGAATATGTCTCATAAAAGGCGCTCCAGCCCAATAGCCCACCCCCAGATGAGGACAGCCCAGCAGTCTCCACCCTTAGCCTTGGCCGCAGCCTGCAGCAACCCGACTCGCCTCCCAGGTCTCGCGACCGCGACGGCAGGGGAGAAAGGAACCGCGACCGCGAGCAGGGACTCGCGACGGCGCCCCTGCCGGCTCAGACCCCGGCCTCCGCATCCGCGCCCTCCATCCATCCACCTTCCTCGGCTCCTCCTCGCCGCCTCCTGTATCGCTCTGCCCTCGCCGGCAGCCGCGACGCCGCCCGCGCGGCTGCCCCCCGCTGTCCGTGGCCCCGCCCGCCGCCGGGTGACGGCCAGCGGCCGCCGGTAGCCGCGGTCCTCGGCCGCCCCAACCCCCAAGCCCCAGCGCCCCCCACACTCAGCAGCCGCCACTGCTACTAACTCAGTTTATAGAAATCCCTGCCCAACCTATCCCTACTCAAATCACGCCTTGAGAGTCCCCCGAGGTCAAATAAGAGCAGGGAGGGCGGATCCTCACCGAGGTTCATGGCGTTGAGGGCCTTGGGGCGGTCGAGCGTGATGACGGCGACGCCGTTGGGTAAGACGCGGCCCTTCACGAACTCGTCCGCGGCGGTGGCGGCCATGGCCGCGAAGCGGCGGAAGAGCCGGAGCGGGACGAAGGTGGGGCTCGGGGCTAGGGTCTTGGAGGCGGCGGTTGAGGAGGTGTGGAGCAACGATGCGGCGGAGATGACCGCGGGCGGGTGGATCCGGAGGAGAGCTCGCATAGCGACGTACTGGAACTTTTGGGAATTCGTGGGCTCGTTATTCTTTTTTTTTTTTAAGTAAAGTATACCAGCGGTCTCTAAACTTGTGCTACCCTAAACGTGCGCTACTGTGTCATCCTAGTCCCTAAAATTACAAAATGATCGTTTGGGTGCCTAATTACTGTTTAGGTCTCAGTTGGGTCCAACCGGGTGCGAGGCATGTTGCACTAATGCAAATACCCCCCTGAGCGCTTTCTTGCGTTGAACTAATGCTCCTCCGCCGACCACAACGCTGCCTCGCCGAGGAGAGCAGGTGGAGTTGCCATGGCCTGGCATCCACCTCCACGAGGCACGTCGGGTAGAAGATGTTCCACTTTGAAAACTTGCGGGCCTCATACGTCATCTTCTTCGCGCCTCTCAGCGGCGCACATTGGGCAGCCTCACCATTAGAACGCCGCGAGAGGCGACGACGCCGCTTTACGCCGGCCAAGCCGATCGGTGTGGCAGTCATGTCGACCGCGCACCGGTGGCTATTGCTTGCTACTGGACTCATGGAGCAAGACGCCCCGCCTGAGGAGCTGCTCGAGATGACCCCACGCGCCACGACGTTCGTCACGAGATCGGCGCTGCAGAGCCTCTCGTCGGTGACGGGGCACATCCAGCACCCGCTCTTGATCCACTTCTTGATGGACGCGTTGTCTGTTGCATACCACCATTTGTGCGTCACCTGAACTGAATGTTTGAGATTAGTACAGTGTTTTATGTTTTCAGTTTCGTCAGTGTAAGACGATGGGCACCGTCATCAGCTCCAACACGGTCATACATCTGGGCGATGGCCACCGTCATCAGCTCCAGCGTGATCGGGCACTGCAACGCCTCCTGGTTCACTCCTGCTGTCGTGCACCTTGGCGGGAGCCTGTTCGCCATCGCAGCCTTGCCTGCCTTGCTAGAATCATCAATGCGGTCGAACAAGACGACGCGGCAGTAGAGCAAGAACGCCACGAGCCCATCGATGAGCACGAGCCACGAGGTCGTTGTCGTTGTCCTTGCCGATCTCCAGGCGCTCCAACAGCTCGGCCTGCAGGAACGCGGCATCCTCGGGGCAGTCCGACCAGGTGGCGACGCCAACGTGGGCGAGCACGAGCCTAGCGTCCTCGGCGTCGGGCGTCACGTCCGCCGGGACACCAACCCCGCGAGCTCCTTGGCGCCCGCGGACGCCCTGACGACGGGCAGCACGTCCATTGTCGTGGCGACGGAGCTCAGCAGCACCCGGAGACATGGCTGGATCTACCGCGGATGCGGGACAGAGGAAGCTACGGAGAGGGGCGATGGATGCGACGATGGCTGGCTGCAACGAAGGAGGCGGCGGCTCTCAGCGATAGGGTTCGGAACCCCAGGTTCTTCTGATCGCCCTCGTATTCGCTCAGGGGGTATTTGCATTAGTTCAATGTGTGTCACGTCCGATTGGACCTAATTGAGACCCAAACAATGATTAGGTACTCAAACGACCGTTTTGCAACTTTAGGGACCGGGACGACACAACAACGCAAGTTTAGGAACCGCTGCTGCACTTTACTCTTTTTTTTATATATATGGTTAATAATGGGAGGAGTTGAACTCCCCCATCAATATTGATCAGGAGCAACAGAAGCTTTGCTCAAATACAAACTTCAAGTTGGCGTGCTGCCTCAATCATCATAGTTGGCGTGCTGCCTCAATCGTCATGTCAGCACCAGATGTCTAGATCACAGCGCTGGGTGATTTTGCAGGTCGTCAGAATAGCCTGCAGAAGAACCATAGGCCTCATCTGACAAAAGTTAGAAGCATCAGTTGAAGTTCGCGTCATGGAGAAAAGAGACGCCACTACTTGCTTGGGACCGCATCAAGTTGAGAAGAGCTAGTTCAATAACAGAGACAAGTGCTTGGCTATCAAGCAATTTACAAGAGCCAAACTATATAACAGTGGTCTCTTATTTGTCTATAAATTTTTTTTATTGTTAGTTTTACCCCACCTTCTCTATCATAATCCTCCTTCACATTCGCTTAGTGTATGGACCTATCACTATATATACATTCGTGCCCAGCTTATTAGTTACATGGCAATCAAACTCTCCTCTCTCCTCCCTTCCCTCTTCCACATCAACTTTTGTTTGGCTATAAGCCAATTATTGTAACTGCTCGAATGAAGAAAGAAATGGGAAAAGACTCACTCACCTGCATGCCCGCGTTGCGAGACTGGTGTCTCAAATTCACCCTTGTCTACGTGTCCCATGCTTTTTGACCGAGGCTAACAACGTTGTCAGCCTACGTTACTGATGCCCTTAGGCAACAGCTCCTTAGGACGAGTACGTTAGTGTTGCTTTAGATAAGTCTTACAGTGTGGCAATTGTGGAAGACACTTTTCCCTCTCCCTCCAATACATCAAACCAATATCCCTCTATCTAATTTAGATATAAGAAATCAATCCATCAATGCCTATGTTGGTGTGTGATGGGCCAAAACTATTTTGTGATGTCTCTGTGCTCACAACCATTTCCAGGTTGCCATATTTGGAACATTGGACGCCTTGGAGGCTAAAGCCCAGGCTCTCTTTCTGGGTGCCAAACTTCCTGCTGCCTTGAATCTGCAGGTGGCCAACATGCTCACTATTTGCCAGCTGCTTGCCTCGTCAGTGCAGTAAGATTCTCTCTGCGCCAGAATCCAGGTCATTGGTCTTTAAGGCCAATCGTCTCAGAATTTACTGAGACATCAAGAGGAAGACAGTTCTCAATGATAAAAATCAAAAGAGAAGCAAATAAGACTGCTGATGAACTTGCAAAGTGAGCAAGGCAGGCTCTTCCAAGTTCATGACTTTTTTTTCTTGTCAGGTTTTAGACCACTCTTCTCACTGTAATGCGAGATTAGCACTTCAAAACTTCTTTTGGGGGATATTCCTCCCAATCTTTGTTCTCTGCTTATGATGAAATGAATATAATATTTTCCCTTTCAAAGAATATACAATTTTGTGATAAAATATAAGATACAACTACAAGATACATGCATACTTCGATTTTTAATACTAGCCGCGCAGCTTGCCAACCGGCAACTGATAGTTTTGCATAAGAAAACAAATTCAAGTATGCAACACATATATAGATTGTAATGCAGGTGACATATGCTTGCTATCGACGGAACACAGGATCCACGGAAGGCATGCATGATGCATGTGGCAGAATTTCACTCCAAGACAAGACGAGTATCGACGGTAACTCAACCGGAGAAATGCACGTACACAGCCAGGCAACTAGCTGGACGCAATTGACAGAACGGGTCCGCTGGCTGCCGTCCTAGAGACGAGTAGACGAGGGAACATTTGGCACGCACGAGGACAGGGACGACACCACCGATGGGTGATCGGCAGCCTCCCTCCAAGAAGAAGGAACGTCTCTCCACTTCTCCAAACGATGACGCAGGTAGCTGTGGAACTGACGCGTACCCTGACGTTTCGTGGGTATGGCTGATTGGCCGAACGCAGCTACAGCTGATGGTTTCTGTATCATATCCATATGGACCGAGCCGGCAACATCGCTGTGAATCGTGGCGTTTTCCCGTTTGTTGTCTTCTGACGAAATCGTCCTACGACCAGAAAGCATCAAAGCAGGCAGGATCGATGCCATGGATTCGGATGCATCCAAGGCACGCGCATATCAACGATTAGTCCGCGACCGGCTACCGCAGCATCTACTCGGGCACGGGCTCGTGCTTGCTTGACTACTTATGGCGGAGCTCGGGCCACAAAGATGACAGACCGACAGACGCGGGCGCGCTAGCTAGTGAGAGTCGGAGATGTCGCCGCCGCGGCTACACTTCCTCGTGCTCACGTACCCGCTCCAGGGCCACATCGCCCCGGCTCTCCGCCTCGCCAGGAGGCTGCTGGCGGCCTCGCCCGACGCGCTCGTCACTTTCTCCACCACCGAGGTCGCGCACAGGCGCATGTTCCCTGCCAAGCCCGACGACGACGGCGCCAAGGACTCCGACGAAGACGACGGACGCCTCGAGTTCCTCCCGTTCTCCGACGGCACGGAGGCCGGGTGGAGCACCCACCCGGGCTCCTTCAACGCCTACATGGCGTCCTTCCACGCCGCGGGCGCGCGCAGCTTCGGGCAGCTCGTGGACGCGCTCGTGGCGCGGGGCCGCCCGGTCTCCCGCGTCGTGTACACGCTCATGCTCCCGTGGGCGGCCGACGTCGCGCGGGAGCGAGGCATCGCGTCCGCGCTCTACTGGATCCAGCCGGTCGCCGTGTTCGCCATCTACCACCACTACTTCCACGGCCACGCCGGCGTCGTCGCCGCGCACCGACACGACCCGTCGTTCGTCGTGGAGCTGCCGGGCCTGGCGCCGCAGACGGTCGCCGACCTCCCGTCCTTCCTCACCGACTCCACCGACCCTTCCGATTTCTTCCACAGCATCTTCACCACGATCCGCGACCTGATTGAGACGCTTGACAAGGAAAGCCCCAAGTCCACCGTCCTCGTCAACACGTGCCAAGAGCTCGAGGTGGGCGCGCTCGCAGCCGTGGGGGCACAGGCACACGACGTGCTCCCCATCGGCCCGGTGCTCCCGTCTGGGGATGACGACGACGCCAGCATCTTCGAGCAGGACGACGACGCCAAGTACATGGAGTGGCTCGATGCCAAGCCGGCGAATTCCGTGGTGTACGTCTCCTTCGGCAGCCTGACCACCATGGCGAGGGAGCATCTCGACGAGCTGCTCCGGGGCCTTGAGGAGAGCGGCAGGCCGTACATCTGCGTCGTCAGGAAGGACAACAAGGCCGCACTCGCGGATGATGCCGAGGCAAAGGTAGACGAGGATGAGCTCGAGAACGGCATCGTGGTGGAGTGGTGCGACCAGGTGCGGGTGCTGTCGCATGCGGCGGTCGGGTGCTTCGTGACGCACTGCGGCTGGAACTCGGTGCTGGAGAGCGTGGTGGCGGGGGTGCCCATGGTGTGCGTGCCCCGGATGTCGGACCAGCGCACCAACGCTCAGCTCGTCGTGCGCGAGTGGCGCGTCGGCGTGCGCGCGCAGGTGGACGATGGTGGCGTCCTGCGAGCGCCGGAGGTGCGGCGGTGCATCGATGAGGTGATGGCGAATCTGGAGGCCGCCGCGGAGGTGCGACGCATGGCGGCTGAGTGGAAGCAGGTAGTGACAAAGGCCATGGGAAAAGGAGGGTCGTCGGATCGTAATCTCATGGCGTTCGCGGATGGCGCGAGGAGCGCCGTTTGAAGATTGGCCTGTGTTCTTTCTTTCAGTGACAATGACAAAGGACATGTTGACTGCGGATATTGCGGGCCTGCTTGGATGCGGTGGCCTTATTAGCCATCTAATAAAACCACTTCAGCCGGTTCAGAGACGACGGTAACTAGTAGTAGCATAAAAAAAACTGTCGCTGTCGTCTACCATACTCTGTCCATATATGATTTGGATTCATGGTCCCGGTTATGCAACGTCATTTTATGTTTTGAGATTTTGTTGGGTCTGTCTACCCATGCGTCGTGTGTTTTTGTGGGGCCGTGACACTCGAGTGATTGGAGACGCATCAACACCCGATTGGCAACAAACAAAAAATCGAGTGATTCCTGTACATGCAACAGTTGATTATCAAGACACTAGGATCAAGATCAAATGAACAAAAAAAAAACTATCCAAATAACACAAAAAATTAACCAGATTATTTCTATGTAAGCAAAATTAAAAAAAATCAAAGGAGGACCAAATAAAAGATACAGAAAATAAAAACAAAAAAAATTGTTAGATTATTTATATGTAAACTAAATTGTAAAATATCAAAGGAGAACCAAATAAAAACATACAGAAAATAAAAAATAGTCGGATTATTTCTATGAAACCCAAATTGAAAAATTATAAAAGGGAACCAAATAAAACATATAGAAAATAAAATAGGCAAACAAATGATCAGATAACTGTTCTAATTTTAACCATTTATATTTACAAATAATCAGTTACACCAATTAATTATAGAACTTACATCCAAACAGAAGTAGTATAATATGGTTTAATAATATATAATATGCTAGTATTAAAGAAGTGAATATACATACATGGTTAGGGGCTAGCTGATGTGATTCGTCACAACCTTCAGCGGTCGCTGCACCATCTGCTGCTTCTGACCGGGCACTGCTGTCCTGTTCGTTTGGCTGATAATTTATAATTAAAAATACTGTTAGCTAATTTGTTGTGAGAGAAAAATATTATTTATCGTTGAATTAAAAAAGTACGACAACTTGTAAACCAAACGAACAGGGCGTGCATTGCTGCATGCACTTCACCGGACGGTCCCCACACCCTTCTCTCTCATGCAGTGGAGGCGTGGAGCAGCACACTGGTCCGTATGCACATGCAGTGATGCACAGGGCCGCTCGACGCAACCACCCAGGGGCCCGCGACCCTTGCTGCGCGGGAGCCGTTGACAACACAGATCGGACGGACGCCAGATCAGATCGCCAAAATAGTGAGCAGGAGCGCCAAAAATTACAGTAAGTTTCGTTTTACTCGAGTGACGTACAATTTTTCATCCCGTGCAATTAAAGCCATCTTGGCAGCAATATTCGCGATAAATTCGTCAACTAAACAAGGGCTTTCCCGTTTGTTAAAGCCATCTTGGAAGCAGCTTCGACAATTCCATGACCATACACATGCTTGACACAGCTACCGGCTACCGCTAGCTCAAGCTAAGCCTCAGTCAGACGGGCGAGGCTCCGAGATGTCATCACCGCGGCCGCACTTCCTAGTGCTCACGTACCCGCTCCAGGGCCACATCGCCCCGGCGCTGCGCCTCGCCAGGCGGCTGCTCGCCGTCGCGCCCGACGTTCTCGTCACGTTCTCCACCACCATTGCCGCGCACAGCCGCATGTTCCCGGCGGCCAAGTCGACGGACGATGGCGAATGGCGCCCCCGAGGAAGACGGCCGCCTCGAGTTCCACCCGTTCTCCGACGGCACCGAGCGCGGGTACGCCGGCGGGAGCGACGACGTTGCGGAGTTCAACGCCTACATGGCGTCCTTTCACGCCGCGGGCCCACGCAGCGTCGGGCAGCTCGTCGACGCGCTGGCGGCGCGGGGACGGCCCGTCTCCCGCGTCGTGTACACGCTCATGCTCCCGTGGGCCGCCGGCGTCGCGTCCGCGCTCTACTGGATCCAGCCGGTCCTCGTGTCCGCCATCTACCACCACTACTTCCACGGCTACGCCGGCGTCATCGCCGAGCAGTACCGCCGCGGCGACCCGTCGGATGTCGTGGAGCTCCCGGGCCTGGCGCCTCTGGCGGTCAGGGACCTGCCAATCTTCCTCACCGAGTCCACCGACCCCGGCGACTACTTCCACACCGTCTTCCTCACGTTCCGCGACCTGTTCGACACCCTCGACAGGGAGACTTCCAATTCCAAGGCCACCGTCCTCGTCAACTCGTGCGAAGAGCTCGAGGTGGGCGCGCTCGCCGCCATAGGGCCACATGACGTGCTCCTGCTCCCCATCGGTCCGGTGCTCCCGACGGGTGACGAGACGAGCATGTTCAAGCAGGAAGACGCCACGTACATGGAGTGGCTCTACGGGAAGCCGGCGAACTCCGTTGTGTACGTCTCCTTCGGGAGCCTGGCAACGATGGCGAGGGAGCAGGTGGAGGAGCTGCCTGCTGGCGTCGAGGAGAGCGGGAGGCCGTACCTCGTGGTGGTCCGCAAGGACAACAGGGCGATGCTCGCGGAAGAAGACGAGACGGAGCTGGGTGAGCGTGCCAAGAACGGCATGGTGGTGGAGTGGTGCGACCAGGCGCACGTGCTGTCGCACCCGGCGGTCGGGTGCTTCGTCACGCACTGTGGATGGAACTCGGTGCTAGAGAGCGTGGCCAGCGGCGTGCCCATGTTAGGTGTGCCCAAGGTCTCGGAGCAGAGCACCAACGCGCGGCTCATCGAGCGCTAGTGGCGCGTCGGCGTGCGCGCGCAGGTGGACGGTGGTGGCGTGCTGCGCTCGGCGGAGCTGCGGCGGTGCGTCCAGGATGTTATGGGGGACGGGACGGCCGCGGCGGAGGTGAGGCGCATGGCAGGGGAGTGGAAGCGGGTTGTTGCGGAGGCTATGGGAAAAGGAGGCTCGTCATACTGTAATCTCATGGCATTTGTTGACGGTGCAAGGAGCAGCACATGAAGGGCATCGCTCACAGCCGTACCCAACGCGAACGCTCGGAGATTCCTCTTCGACGTCCCGCCGCGGACCACCGCCTCACGCGACACTTCTCTCCAACGATCAGACTGCGCCCGGATGGCCGCGGCGGCCTCACCGTCGCCCATGACCATCTCCACGCACCGCTGCACCTCGCCTCGCTCCACCACCCCCTCGCCGTCCACGCGCGTGCGCACGCCGGCGCCCATGCACGCGTCCACCAGCCACGCCACCGTAGGCTGGTCCGTCCACTGCGGCACGGACACCATAGGCACGCCCCGCGTCACGCTCTCCAGCGTCGAGTTCCACCCGCAGTGCGTCACGAAGCACCCCGCCGCCGGGTGCGACAGCACGCGCACCTGGTCGCACCAGTCAACCACCATCCCCTGCGCGCCGTCGCCGTCGCCGTTGGCCGCGCTGCTGCTGCTGTCCGCGCTCGCACCACCGCTGCCGGCCTTTCGCGCCACCCACAGGTACGGCCGGCCGGTCGCCTCGAGGCCTTTCCTCATCTCCTCCTCCTGCCGCTTGCTTATCGGGAGGATGCTCCCGAACGACACGTACACCACGGTCCGCGCCGGCTTCGTCTCCAGCCACTCCATGTACGGCTTCGCGTCGTGGCAGTGTATCAGGTCCGCGCGTGATGACGGAGACACATCGTCCGGCGGCACCACGGGACCGACGGCGTCGACCTCGAGCTGCGGCACCGCGCGGAGCGCGTCAGGCTCCAGCGCGTCCAACGTGTTGACGAGCACCCTGGGCTTGTGCTCGTCGAGAGACAGGAATAGCTCGCGCACCATGTCGAGCACCACGTGGTGTCTGTGCTCCGGCGAGGTGATGGACACGACCGACGGCAGCGCGTCGGGCTTGAGCGGCGGCAGCCCTGGCAGGGTGACTCTGGCGTCCGGATCGAGGCCGTTTGCGCACGCGGCGAGGGCCGCGTCGTGGCCGTGGAAGTAGTGGTAGTACACGGCGAGCACGGCGGCCGGCTGGATCCAGAAGAGCGCCGCTGGCACGCCGTGCGCGCGCGCGACGTCGGGCACCCACGGCACGAGGAAAGTGTACACCATGCACGTCACGGGGCGTCCCAGCGCGGCTAGGCGCGCCACGACGGCGGACAGCGTCTCGCGCCCCGCGGCGCTGGCTCGGGCCCTGTACTTGCCGGCGTCGTGCACCGCCGGGTTGAACCCGTCGTCGAAGCCGTCGGAGTAGGGAGCGTGCAGCACGCCCGCGGCGTCCACGGCCTCCTCGTCGCGGGAGGCCAGTGACGGGAAGATGCGGCGGTGCCCGGAGATGGCGGTGCAGAAGGTGACCCGCGCGTCCGGGTTCGACGCCATCACGCGCCCAGCGAGGCGGCGCGTTGGGTTGATGTGGCCCTGCATCGAGTTAGTCACGAACAGGAAGTGCTGCTGCTGAGGGGGAGTTGGGTTCTCCATTGACATTCAACTGAACTGGTGAAAGTGATCTATGGCTGGTCTAACTGCAGGCTGCAGCGGCTGCTACCAATAAATAAAAAGATCACTTGAGTATGGTTTCAGCTTGGCAACCCACTTATTAGGCCTGGTTTAGTTCCTAAAATTTTTTACTCCAAACTATTCTATCGAATCTTGCGGTACATGTATGGAGTATTAAATATAGACGAAAAAAACTAATTACACAGTTTGGTTGAAAATCGCGAGACGAATGTTTTAAGACTAATTAGTCAATGATTAGCTATAAGTGATACAGTAACTAACATGCGCTAATGATGGATTAATTAGGTTTAATAAATTTGTCTCGCAGTTTTCAGACGAGCTATGTAATTAGTTTTTTTTATTAGCATGCGAAAACCTCTTCCGACATTCCGAAACATCCAATATGACATTAAAAATTTTTCATTTCGCGAACTAATCGCAGCCTTATTTGAGTGGCGATAGTCAAATCCAGCTTGGCAACCACGGCACCCACTTATTTGAGTGGCGATAGTCAAATCCCATGATTGGTTAAAGATGATGTGCTCGTTCATAACTTGATCACAAACTTTTACTTTACTGGTAAGTTAATGTAACTGAAATCGTTCTTATTCAAAAAAGAGTAAGGCCCATACAAACTTGAGTACGGTTTCAGCTTGGCAACCACGGCACCCACTTAGCGATAGTCAAAGAGATATTTTATTGTATGGCCTAAAAAAATACGTCTTCCTTCCACGGCCCTATTTTTCTTAGGATCTGTCCAGGCGACGTTAAGTTGTTTTGATCCCTTCTATCAACTAATTTTTTCTCATACACCTACTCTGTCTTTTAGCTATATTTACACTGGCTTATTATTATATTTACACTGACTTCGTCAGTATAATTTATTAGACATAGTGGTGTAATTTAAGGATAATAATTTGAGAGGTAAATGCATCGTAGGCTCTTGAACTTATCTTGGGGTGCCACTTAGGTCCACAAACTCTCAAATCGTACTTCTGACACCTTAATATTGTTTAAGTATGCCACTTAGGTCCATAACTTATCGGAACAACGTTTTGGCCGACGTGGCGTGGACAGCGTGGCGTTGACTGTGTCCAAGCGCACGTGAGCCGTGCGTGAGTCTGGTTTGGGGCGTGCAAATAAGCAGAGAGGCCTTCCAGTTCTTTTCATATCCTCTTCCCAGTACTACAACCGGAACAGGGCGGCCCGCTCTCTCTCCCCTTCTCGCCGCCGGGTAGCCGTGCGACCGAGCACCTGCGTGACCGAGCCCCACGTGCAGACCGAACCACAAGGATCCCTGCCGCGCCTTGCTGAGTCCCCCCACTTCACCCTCGCCAAGCCACAGCCGCTCCCTTTCCCTGCTCTCCCGCGCGCCGAGTCAAGGCCGCCATTGTCAGCATGTGGCCAAGCTCGCGACCCGATCTCTCCGCTCCCACCTCTGCTTACCTCAGTGGACTAGAGGCCTTACGTGCTCACTCCGCATCCACCCGGCCCGCTCTGACTCTCTCTCGCCCTGCAGCGCCACCAGCGCCGCCGCCGCCGCCATTGACGAGCACACCTCCGAGCTCTCGAACTCCCCTTGTAGATCACCACTCGCCTCACCAATCCCTCCGTTGGCCTCTCAAGGACACGCCTCAGCCTCTCAGATACATCTTGACGTCGATCTGTGGCCTTTTGGCCTCTCACTGACCTCGCCGGAGTTGCCGTCCGCTCGCTGAGTCGTACGCCATCTTTGAAGCCACCTCCGGCCACGAGAAGCCCCGTGGTGAGCTCGCTTTCATCTCCTCTTTCATCCCGTGATTTTACCGAGACGAATCATGGCCTGTAGGCCCTTCTCTGCGTTCGCCGGCGAGGTTTCGCCTCCGGCAATGGCCGCCGCCGTACCAGGCACCGTGTTCTGGCCAGTTGAAAACCAGGCTCACGCCCCAAACCAGGCTCACGCGCGGCTCACGTGCGTTTGGACACAGTCAGCGCCACACTGTCCACGTCACGTTGGCCAAAATGTTGTTCTGATGAGTTATGGACCTAAGTGGCATACTTAAACAACATTAGGGTGCCAGAAGTACGATTTGAGAGTTTGTGGACCTAAGTGACACCCCAAGACAAGTTCAAGGGCCTAAGATGCATTTACCTCATAATTTGAGGATAATATAAATATATGCCAAATTTTCTAGAAAAATTTACAAATTAATTGTATGGATTTCAGATATCAGAGAATATGCAAATTGTTCACAAATATAATCAAATTGCTGATCGAACCCATCTCTTCTACGTCCGATTCAAACGTTAGGTGACCGGTGGTGGTGCGGACCGTGACGGCTGCTCCGGAATGCTGGCCTCGTGCTTGAGGAGGTCCCGAGCAACGTCCGTTGTGCCAGCGACGACGCAGTGCGTGGAAGGGCTGAGGCAGGAGGTAGACGAGGGGCTCATAGCGCGCTAGGATGCGGTCCAAGGCCCTGTACAGCAGCGAGCGGATCATGAGGTGCAGGTGGCCGATGAACGAGAGCAACGGAGGCGGGGCCGGAGGGCTGGCCTAGGGGCGGTAGCGGAGCGCCAGCAACGGTCTAGGAGCGATGGAACCGCAAGGAAGAAGAGCCTGCAAGGTGCGGCAAGGGCAGCCCACCAGATAAGGGATCGGACGCCCACCACGCCAAACAAGCGCAAATCGGATGGTCATAAATTCAGTTGACAGATGATAGGGAAACAACCGGTTGACATATAGCTTTTCTATTTTCTTAACTTACCTGTATGGCCCAAAAACGAAAATCTCTTCCTTCTATGGCCTTCCGTGCAATTCAGGTGATTGACGATGTTAAGTGTGGAGTAAATGACCATTACACACATGACGAAAAAAGTGCAGAGTTTAGTTTGTCTGTTTTAGATTTAGAGTAATATTGCACAAATAAGGTCATAGTAATAGTACATAAATTGTAGTTTCCACGCGATTAATAAACTGCTGAAACATTATATTTTTTGAGCATCTCAGTGATCTCAAATGAAAAAACATGAAACTATAAAGTTCTAGATTTCATCGAGAGCTACAACTTTTATATTTAAAGTATCTAAATTTGACACCATATAAGAAATATATAATTTTTTCAAGGCGACAAGTGCTTGTACATGATTAATATATTGCTAAAATTTTGTTAATTTTTTCACATCTTAATGACCTCAAATTAAAAAAATCAAAACTAAAAAGTTGTAGATCTCATCGAGAGCTACAATTTGCATATAAAAATTGTCTTCATCCGAGATCGTATGAAAAAAATACAATTTTTTTGCTGAAACTTTATTCTTTTTGCCAATTTTACCCTACACTTGTGGGGGATATGACCCCCGGTATCCACAAGACAAGACATGGTCCGCACCATCAGAAGTGGCCCAGCCCACAAGATCAAGGCGTGCGGCACTGGTCGACGTGTACCGCAAGATATTATATAGTGCGAAATAGGATACTTTTCTTGTAACCCTACCCCTCCAGAGTATATAAGGAGAGGCAGGGGTCCCCTAGTGGACATCGATATACATCTCAATGCAATACATCAGAACACAGAATGTAGGTATTACGTCATACTGACGGCCGAACCTGTCTAAATCTTGTGTCTCGGTGCTTGTATTACCATCTAGTTCGTATCATGCGCACCCCCACCGATTCATCTACTACCGTGGGTATACCCCTCGGTAGACTGCCGATCAGATTTCGTCGACAGTGGCGCTCACCGTGGTGCGTGTGCGTGCTGATCCCATGGCGAACCAGATGGCGTACCTCAAGATCATGTACACGTTCTCGGCAACGGCCCGTGCATCCAACCACTCGTACAGGCTGTCGTTGAGGAGGTGCTCGAACAACAGCAGGCTCGTCGCATCGTCCGATGTTGAGACATTACACAGGAGCTTCACCACATTCATGATCCGGATCGTGCTCAAGATCTCCACCAACGATTGAGTCGACTGTCGCAGCTCCAGCACGAGGCTCTAGTTCCGCAAGCCTGGCATCCAGCGTTACGTTGATTCCGCCGAAGATCCAATCGATCTCAGGCTTACGTTGATCGACCACACACAAGACCTGTGGCTGCACGAATGGCGCAGACAAAATCGATCTAACTCGGATTTGTCTCGTGCACGAGCGCCAGTCAACGAAAGGCCTCAATGCCTCCAGACGATTTGCCGCAGTCGGAGTAGTCGTTCAGCAGCATGACCCTGCCGGCCAGATCGTTCAAGCTCTAAGTCCATGGACTCCGTCGGATATCAATACTAGAAAAATATGAGTCATGGTGACATCAACAACGCGTGATAGATCCGATCTAAAATTTGCATGAAGGAATACGTAGGCATCTACATCACCACGCAAGCAAGCACGCTTCGGCCACGTCCCATCTACTCCGCCATACAGCATCGTTTCTCCGACCAGTCAATGATCTCCTCGAATCTGATCTGCCTAAGGCTGATCAGCTATATAAGGACGATGTCGCCCAGTCTAATTACTCTGACCACCTACCACGTCGCAACGATGATCGCCGTGAAGAACGGCATCGAGACAACCGTGACCGTTGCCATGACGACGTTCGAAAAGCTCGAGGGCCAGGCAATTTCGTCAACGCCGACCAGATAACGCCATACGCCGCCAACCAGATGTTTTGTCTAAAGCTAAGTGATACTTTAATATTTTTCTAAATATTCTTCAATCTTCGTATATTGCCATAATGTTTCTTCGATCTGTTTTCTCCATGTTTGTTCACCAAATGATTTTTTTTCATGTATACCATCTTAAAGATGGCATACAACTAAGTCTAAGGCAAACCCCCGAACAGTCATGTTGACGCTCGGATGTCCCTAGAGACGGCTCTGTCTCCGGCTCCTCCCTACACGTGCACGAGCGTCTGTCCTCTGCGTTATGGGTGGTCGATAGCGGCCCCTTAGCGACGCTTTGTTCTTCCTACACGTGCACAGGCTCCGCCCTCCGCGTTATGGTTAACAGGCTA